GTAGGTAGGTAGGTAGGTAGGTAGGTAGGTGGGTAGGTAGGTAGGTAGGTAGGTAGGTAGGTAGGTAGGTAGGTAGGTAGGTAGGAAAGTAAACAGAAAGGCAAGCAGGTAAGTGTGGGGATGAGTGGGTAAGTAGGAAGATATATAATATACAGGTAGGCATGTGGGTGGGAAAGATTAATAGACAGGTAGCTCGGTTGGTTGGTAGGTAAATAGGTAGGTATGTAGATACATAGACAGGAAAGTAGCTATATCTCTACAGCAGGTAATAGGCAGGTGGGCTGTAAACACGCTTTACCAAAAGGCTCTCACCTAATTCATTTTTTGGCCTTTGTTAAGAAATCAGGCCAGTTCAATACTGAAGAACCCACGTCACTGGAAAGCCAAATCTCCCCCCCCACGGTCACACATACAACCCTCAAATGAAAAGAAAAAATTCGAGACAGTTACATCAGCAACGAGTACTATCAGTAACAAAGTTGAGATTGTGGTTGAGATAGACAACATTGTCAACAAGAGTAACATAAGTGGTCACTGGTCACTTTTTTTATCCATCCACTTCCAGTGGAATGTTTACCATAGAATAAAGAACAAAAGAGCCTCTCGCCATAGCCTATGAATAGTTTTACATCTTTAAAAAAAATTTGTACACAATCTTTTAATTTAAAAAATACAGTGAAAGCTGATTCATTCTGAACTTGTCTTTCTATATATGCAATTATGATTAATCAGGAAAGTTGAATAAATAGGCCTACTATTTGAAAAATGATAAACAAATCCTTCATAGACAGCTTTAAAAAAATTAAAATGAAAGAAAACAGTTAGATGAAAATAGAAGACCAAAAGTAGCAAATAAGGACTAAAGGAAGAACATTTTTGGAGACATAGGGAAACCAATCAAACCCAATCTCGATATCACGAAAGGTAAAGAAACCACCCGCGGCGAGCTGTGCCACTCCCTATCTGGACCACGCTACAACAACCAGCTGATGATGGAGACAGTCAGCTTGCCCACACTGAAATGGACCCTCATGAAGAGGGGCGAGGAAGCATGGAGCATCCCGTCTTCCTAAGACCACAGTTCTAGATTCAAGTCAAGTATTTTTGAGTGTCATTCTTTTTTTTTTTAAACCTTTCTGCATCAGAAACCAATCAGGGACATATATAAGTACACTGTAAAGCTCATCCTGAGCTGTAAGATCAATCGAGAAAAAAAAAGACCAAAACCAAAGGAAAGAAAGAGAGAAAGAAAATAAAACCCAGCGAGTTCTAGTTCTACTATATTTGCAGAAAGAATAGAATGCGGTTCATGATCGGTTTATTGATGAGATAGTGGTGCACATTGACTGGAAAGGATGCAACAGCCATTGTGGTAAGGATACTAGAGGAACTAGTTTAGTTGATGGCAGTGACATGGGTTATAAAAAAAAGTCTAGTCACAGTCCTAGCCACAGATGTTTATTAAATGAAAATTAATTAGTTCTTAAGCTGCATTGTGAAGCTCCATTATTGTCTACCATAGCAATGCCATTATATTAGGCCTACTCTGTGTGTGTGTGTGTGTGTGTGTGTGTGTGTGTGTGTGTGTGTGTGTGTGTGTGTGTGTGTGTGTGTGTGTGTGTTTATTGCAGGGAAATCATCCAGTTGTTGTTGTTGCAAGGTATTAGGATCTAGATTAGCTGAAATGATCTCATAATTGTGGACATCTGTATCTAAAATGAACCACAATTTATCAAAGTGTGCACATGATTCATGATTATAATCTTAAAATCTAATTCTCTCAACAGAAGATCTACTTCTTAAATTAATTTAATTTCCCTGCTCTAGCTCAAAACAAATAGCACTTTCCCAATAATAGCAGCTTCCCCATCTCAATCTTTCTGAGAAAACAAGGGCATATCAAGGGACAAACATGTTTACTTTTAAATACGCCAATACGGCATCGCCATGCAGAGTTGTAGTTTTTAAATTATATAAATCTGACCACTTTCATTTAATCTATTTTCATTCTCAATCTCCAGTTAATCCATGGACCATGTAGCTATAGCTATAGTTTTCAAAGGTAAAAGCAGGTCACAGCGACAACAGGTATTGATTGGTCAAGAATCTATGGGCTAGCTAGAAATGACTGAAATGACCACACTAAAAATAGCGGGGAGTTGGCGAAACCATTAAAGACAGATACAAATATTCGTATGTGACCGACAAGTACACCGAGGTGTGGGCAGAACCCCCTTCCTACAGCACAAGAAACTCAAAATGACTAAGGCGAGACTCGGGGTAGCGAAATCATGAACGCGGAAGTCATCAAACCCACAGCCGACACGGTGGGTTTAGTTCTCTGTAATTTGATCACCAACACCCAATTCACAAGCTTGTTTCACGAGATAAAACGATCCACATCATGAAAATGTCGTTGACGCTTGAAAGTGGTACCCAACACACACAAGGTCCTTAAACACAAACACAGAATTTTCACCGAAAGACGTCTCGTTCGTGAAACGCTGCGTCCCCTCTAGATCTCTAGGCCTATGTAGCGGAGCGTAATCCAGCCAGGTGACACGGAAGAGGTCCCCCCTGGTCATGGCGAAATATCGCGCCAAGCGAACAACTACACATCAAATATCTACACATAAACACAGTAAACTAAAACAGTAACTTATAGTATTTTTAAAAGACATATACCGATAACACACGGTGGAAATTCACAAAAACACAGTAGGTCTCGGACACACACAATGTGTCGTTACCTGTTCAGGTGAGATTCTCCTGTGCCACGGGTTATCCCCCTTCCACGACACAGCCCGAGCGGAACTAGAAATTCAAACGCTCCCGAGCTCTCGCTGCGCCTGTAAACATTCTTTTGCGACTTTCGTGTCGTGCAAGTTGTCGCACGGGGAGCGGAAATCCCGAAATGGACCGAGGCGTTACCTGTTCTGTACCTACCGAGCGGCCTGATCTGACACAGTGTCCCATACACACATTCGGGTCGCTTGCCGTGTGCTCGGCTCTCTCCGGTCTCCGTCGTGTTGGGTGACAAGTTTTAAGGTGGTGAATCATCCACCGATAACAAAATTTGCCCGGCTATCAACGTATTTGCCTGATCCTTTCAGCCTGTGCTAGGCTACCTTTGCTCCCTTTCCCCAAAGTGAATCGACAAAATGAACCACTGGGCCTTCACATATTATTATAGTCCCCTTTGTTGTGCCTGTTCTTTGAGTAAGGAATCAATAGACTCCAAGTTGCTGGTGTGGAATAAGTTTGGGGGGAAGGGGGGAGGTCGCAGAAATGTCATAAGGGTACAGTTAATTTTAATATATACTATAATATAACATAGGCCTAATATAACATAATATAATATTGATATGATATAAATATAATATGTAATATAGATCTAATATACAATATCATACAATATAGTAGAATACTGTACTATACACA